GGTAATAGTAAAAATGCCACATAATGATCTATCCATCACATGAATTTTGAACATGCAAATTCAAAACATAAAAAGTTAACATAAGACTAACTAATAAAAGGATATATTATGATTTTTTTTTCAAAGGACTGTGGTTGTGCTAGTTGTGATACTAGAGATTTTTTACAATTGCATTTGTACAAAGGTTTGGTTGAATTGCACTCAATTGTCTGCAAACCTTAATCTTAATTACTCTGCTTAAGCATACACCTGAGTCCACAAGCAAGGAAACTAAACTTTTGTTCAGCATGCAATTGTAGAAAAGATTCCAAGCTACTTACTTGTAAAATACAGTTTAAAAAGGTCAACGAATTAGAAAGTTTCCAGTGTGTCGATTCAGTTGTGCTTCTATACAAACTGCTTTGCCTTGTGTTTGTGTGTTTATTGAAAGAGCTATGATATACTTTTCTGTCTATATCTCACTTTAAATACTATCATAATCTTAAATGGAATAAAAGTTCCTTTAATAATAAATCCACTGCATCAATATAAGTGTTGTATTATTTTTAATGACCATAAAAAATGCTAACTTTTTAATCACAAATCATTTATTTACATACATGTAGTTCTATTGCCAGTCGTTACCAGTGTCACTAAGGAATTGCTGTTGTACTGTTACAATCACCACTAATCTCAGTATGCTACAAGTCTCATTTCTTTAAGTTATAGGTCAAATAAATTTGGTGCATGAAATCAATAAGCAACTAGATCAACTACTGTGGGTTCATTATTTTTCGTTGGATACCAATGTTTGTCGGTTTCGTGGATACAGGTGAACCACGAATTCAAATGTTCCACAAATTACAAATTTTATAAAGGCTTTGTATGCAGTGATTGGCAAAACCAGGAAATCAAATATCCATGAAAATGGCAGTTGTCCTCAATCCACGAAAATTGATACCCATGAAAAAAAATGAATCCACAGTATAGTTGGTGTATGTGGAATGATTGTAAGTTGTTCATGTCTGTTTGGCAGGGTTCATATGACCTTGACCTCTTTTCATTGTTCATTGGTCAATATTCATATTTTGTAGTTTGATCTGTTTCTAAGGTACTATTAGTAAAATGACCACTATTTTGGGATATGGAATGATAGTAAGGTCAACATGTCTGTCTGGCATGGTTCATCTGACCGTAACCTCATTTTAATAGATCATTGATAGTGTTAAGTTTATGTGAAACTTGTAGTTAAATCTTCATATTACAGACTTTCATCATTAATTGAATGATGAGTAAAACAGGCGAATCATTTCAGTGTGTGCAGTCTTGTTACAGTTTATTATTTAAGGAATGACTGTAATAATTTTTCTGTCTATGAAGAAATAAGTTAATAAATGTGGTGCACACTGAATAACACGCGTAGCGGGTTATTTAAAAGTGTGCACCACATTTTTAGTTCACCTGGCCCAAAGGGCCAAGTGAGCTTTTCTCATCACTTGGCGTCCGTCGTCTGTCGTTGTCGTCCGTCGTCGTCCCTCGTCGTTAACTTTTACAAAAATCTTCTCCTCTGAAACTACTGGGCCAAATTAAACCAAACTTGGCCACAATCATCATTTGGGTATCTAGTTTAAAAAAATGTGTCCGGTGACCCAGCCAACCAACCAAGATGGCCGCCATGGCTAAAAATACAACATAGGGGTAAAATGTAGATTTTGGCTTATATCTCTGAAACCAAAGCATTTAGAGCAAATCTGACATGCGGTAAAACTGTTTATCAGGTCAAGATCTATCTGCCCTGAAATTTTCAGATGAATCGGAAAACCCGTTGTTGGGTTGCTGCCCCTGAATTGGTAATTTTAAGGAAATTTTGCCGTTTTTGGTTATTATCTTGAATATTATTATAGATTGAGATAAACTGTAAACAGCAATAATGTTCAGCAAAATAAGATCTACAAATAAGTCAACTTGACCAAAATGGTCAGTTGACCCCTTAAGGAGTTATTGCCCTTTATAGTCAATTTTTAACCATTTTTCACAAATTTTTGTAATCTTTTACAAAAATCTTCTCCTCTGAAACTACCAAGACAAATTTAACCAAACTTGTCCACAATCATCATTATGGTATCTAGTTTAAAAAATGTGTTCGATGACCCTGCCCGCGAACCAAGATGGCCGACATGGCTAAAAAATAGTACATAGGGTAAAATGCAGTTTTTGGCTCATATCTCTGAAACCAAAGCATTTAGAGCAAATCTGACGAGGATAAAATTGTTCATTAGGTCAAGATCTATCTGCCCTGATATTTCAGACCAATCAGGCAACACGTTGTTGGGTTGCTGCCCCTGAATTGGTAATTTTAAGAAAATTTTGCAGCTTTTGGTTATTATCTTGAATATTATTATAGATAGAGATAAAGTGTAAACAGCAATAATGTACAGCAAAGTAAGATCTACTAATAAGTCAAAATGACCAAAATTGTCAATTGACCCCTTAAGGAGTTATTGCCCTTTATAGGGGGTCTCATTGGGGGGTTCTGATCCCGGATCCCGCTTACTGTTTTGTCAGATTCCCGTATCCCGCTTACACTATGTATGTAAGCAATTCTCACTTTTTTGTAATTTCCCGTATCCCGCTAGACTTTATTTCCCGTTTTCACGGCACAATAATTTGACTTTCACGTGTCACGCTTACAAAAAATCGGCAATCCTGCGTCACGCTTAGACCCCAATGAGACCCACTTTATAGTCATTTTTTACAATTTCATAAATTTTGTAAATTTTTGTAAATTTTTACAAAATATTTTCCACTGTAACTACTGGGCCAAGTTCATTATAGATAGAGATAATAGTAAGGAGCAAGAATGTTCAGTAAAGTAAGATCTACAAACACATCACCATCACCAAAACACAATTTTGTCATGTATCCATCTGTGTCCTTTGTTTAATATGCACATAGACCAAGGTGAGCGGCACAGGCTCTTTAGAGCCTCTAGTTTATGTTATTTCGAATAGACAGAAAAAATATTTAAGTCATTCCTTATAATTAAATTCTAAAAAGGAGTAAACCATGATACAAATGTTGATGACGTTGCTGTCACATGACAAAATTATGTCTATGAGCTGATAGACAAAACACTTTCAGCCAATCAGAGGACGTGTTACATCCAAAATTAAATTATTATGCTATGCTGTTACACCCCTGCCCTAGTTCAGTTTTTAGCTCACCTGGCCCGAAGGGCCAAGTGAGCTTTTCTCATCACTTTGCGTCCGTCGTCGTCGTCTCCGTCTACATCGTCCGACGTCATCTGTTAACTTTTACAAAAATCTTCTCCTCTGAAACTACTGGGTCAAATTTAACCAAACTTGGTCACAATCATCATTGGGGTTTCTAGTTTAAAAAATTTGTCTGGTGACCCGGCCAACCAACCAAGATGGCCGCCATGGCTCAAAATAGAACATAGGGGTGAAATGTAGATTTTGGCTTATATCTCTGAAACCAAAGCATTTAGAGCAAATCTGACATGGGGTGAAATTGTTTATCAGGTCAAGATCTATCTGCCCTGAAATTTTCAGATGAATCGGACAACTCGTTGTTGGGTTGCTGCCCCTGAATTGGTAATTTTAAGGAAATTTTGCCGTTTTTGGTTATTATCTTGAATATTATTATAGATAGAGATAAACTGTAAACAGCAATAATGTTCAGCAAAGTAAGATCTACAAATAAGTCAACTTGACCAAAATGGTCAATTGACCCCTTAGGTAGTTATTGCCCTTTATAGTCCATTTTTAACCATTTTTCGTAAATTTTTGTAACATTTTTACAAAAATCTTCTCCTCTGAAACTACTTTGCCAAATTTAACCAAACTTGGCCACAATCATCATTGGGGTATCTAGTTTAAAAAATGTGTCCAGTGACCCGGCCAACCAACCAAGATGGCCGCCATGGCTAAAAATAGAACATAGGGGTAAAATGTAGATTTTGGCTTATATCTCTGAAACCAAAGCATTTAGAGCAAATCTGACGAGGATAAAATTGTTCATTTGGTCAAGATCTATCTGCCCTGAAATTTTCAGACCAATCAGGCAACACGTTGTTGGGTTGCTGCCCCTGAATTGGTCATTTTAAGAAAATTTTGCAGCTTATGGTTATTATCTTGAATATTATTATAGATAGAGATAAACTGTAAACGGCAATAATGTACAGCAAAGTAAGATCTACAAATAAGTTAACATGATCAAAATTGTCAATTGTCCCCTTAATGAGTTATTGCCCTTTATAGTCAATTTTTTACAATTTTCATAAATTTTGTAAATTTTTGTAAATTTTTACATAATATTTTCCACTGTAACTACTGGGCCAAGTTCATTATAGATAGAGATAATAGTAAGGAGCAAGAAAGTTCAGTAAAGTAAGATCTACAAACACATCACCATCACCAAAACACAATTTTGTCATGAATCCATCTGTGTCCTTTGTTTGATATGCACATAGACCAAGGTGAGCGACACAGGCTCTTTAGAGCCTCTTGTTGTTTTTGGTTACTGACTGTGGAATATGATTTTTTGTTTATTGCATTGGTCTAAATCAGGCTGTTATTTTTTCTTGTTTGAATTACAATTAGTGCCCATTAGCATGGTTAGGGCCTTTTATAGCCTCCTATACTGTATGGGTTTTGGTCATTGTTGAAAGCCCTACACAGTGAAGTTGAGTTCCTTAAACCACATCATTTACTATTTGATGGATAATTATTTCATTGACAATCATACCACATCTTCGTTTTATTTTTATACAGACCTTACATTACTGCTTTAAATAAACTTCTAAATAAATGAAGAATATAAAAAGTTGAATAGTTTATAAACATTATTATTATTTTTTTCATAATATTTTACATTCATTTGTCTGAATCAAAGGATTGTCTGAAAAGATGGAACAAATAAGAAGCCTAATCCTTATCAGCTATAAATCGTGGCAAAATGTTATTTGTTTAATTATATATTTTAATTTTTTTTGTAGGTAGAATAAATAAACCTCTTCTTGTTAAAAGTAAGTAAACTTTGTTGCAATTTAGTTGTTCTTTCACCTTTTTGTTTATCAGGTATGAAGTACCAATTATCTTTAAATCAAAAATCACTCGCTTACTCTGACCCAAGAATGATTTGAATAATGCATTGACTTAAGTTTTAACAACGGATAAAGATTTGATATGTGTAATTCAAAAATTTTTCAGTACAATATTGGTTAAAATGTCAATCTTTTTCTAATACACTCATTATCATTATTGGCAAAGAATAATATTTATGTTTAATTCAGAGATCATTCTGAGGCATAAGGTTAAACTTATGTCAGCAGTCAAAGGTAAACAATCAATGTAATGATATGTTAAATTTAACCAGAAAACATTGGTTTGATGAATGTGGGATTGCAAATTTATAGTTAATTTTACACAGCTACTGCAGCCACAATTTTCAACACAAATACCACTAAAAAACTTATATGATTGTGATCGGTGTATGGGATAGTTATATCTATAACATCCATTACCAACCTTTCCAGACTTCCTTCAACTTCATATCTCTTTTACTTTCTTGTTTTCTCTCTTTTCTCATGTTTTAGCTATGAACTTTGATCTTTATCACTATGAGATAATCATGTAATGCAGGTTAGTTCATTCAGTTATTGGATATATATAAAGAATAAAAAAACAATACCGGAACTACCAAATATATTTGACATGACATCAAATTAGACTGTGTCAACCATCAACAATCTTTTCATAAAAAAGCCTACTCAAGACATAGATTAAGGTGGTACCTAACACTACCGGGAGATAACTCTGTAAAAAATCAGCTAAACGTTTTAATCATGTTGTATTGTTAAGGAAATAGTAAGCTTCTCAATTATGAAATTTAGTGTTTGTCAAACTGCTATATATCCAATGAAATTTTTCTGAGAAAGTGTGTGGTTCAAGGATTTTGATATTTTGATATTTTTGTCAAAGGGTCAAAGTAAATGTTTTGTCAAGATTTTATGAAAATCAAACGAGCCAAATTTATTTTAGTCAAGGTTTTTGGTACCACCTTTAAAGTAAAAGCAACATATACAAAGAATGACTCAGTACAGGCACAAAATATGAAAAAAAAAAAATTTCCTCAATACCCAAAGCGGTATGAGAAATTTCAAATTGAGTAATCAAAATCATAAATTGGAGAAAGACCAACAACAATCTACAAAACAGTACACAGAAAACTAAAGATTAAACAACATTAACCCCATATAAACCTGTGTGGTGAACTCAAGTGTTCCATGGTGGGGAGCAGGATCTGCATAACTAGTGATTGCTGTTATGTTTCCTCATTTTAATATAAAAATAAGGAGATGTGGAATGATTGCCAATGAGACAACTATCCACCAGAGTCCAAATAAAGTGGATGCACTAAACTTGAATTAAAAGAAATAGAAAAAATGTAATAATAAAAAACTACCGGGTAATAGTGGACAGCTCTCTCACAAGCAAAATACCCATAACTGCAAAATATAAGGGCATACACTAAAAGCATATATGACACATTCTACATTACTCATTAACTGTTGATGATTTATTGTAAACATCGTAAACAAATGTATCTTTGAAAAATTACACTTTCAGATATAAAGGTTTCAAAACAAAAGTATACTAAATTATATGGATCTGAGGTTGAATTAAAAGTAAAGATACCTGAGGACGGTGGACCTGTTTTTTGGCTATTCAATGACGATTTGTTAAACACTTCTAATTCTACGAAATACAGATCAGTCAGTGCATCCCAACCTTCATTAAAAATAAATGATCTACATGATGCAGATATTGGTACTTATGTATGTAAAGTTATGTATGAACCTGAAAATGAAAATGAAGAGGAGGACTCAGTATTAAGTCCAACAATAGAAGTTGAACTTAAAGGTAAAATATACTGAATATTAAAATACCTGGTTTGTCCTCTTCTTGAATGCTTTTTGGAGCTGCTAATATTTCTCTGGCTAATGAATACAATTACATGCCTTAAACTCTCCTTTATTTGGACCCAAAAAATTTATTGTCAGTCTTGTTAGACACATGTAATCGAGAACCATCTCAGTGGTCTTGTGATATCTTGTTTGCCTCAATTATGGGAGGTTGTTTGTTCAATTCTCTGGCTAGGTTAAATCATAGACTTTAACATTGGTATTGACTGCTGCACCACCAAGCATGCTGCATATCAGAATAATGTGTCAGTGTAGGGTGACATTTTGAGCTAGCAAGTTAACAAATCTGATTAAGTGTGTCAGCAAAATCCTGTGTGTATAAAAAAAAGTCATGAACAAAATTTAAGGAATTATAATGATAGCAGATATACTTAACTAATGTTAAAACAATGTTTGATCTTGGACGACAGAAAATTAGTAAACTGTTATTGAATAAAATCTATATTTAAGCTCTATATGCTTTATGCTTAAAATATTACTTACCAGTATTTGGAATTTAGAAACAAAATTTTGTTATCAAACCAGGTAAGTTGAATTTATGCACATTACTTTATTAAACTGACTTAACTGAGTTATAGTCATATTCTCAACAAAAATCCTTTTTTTTTCATGTACAGAGCCAGGATTTTGTTTAGAACTTTCAAGGTTAGAAGTAAATTTTGGAGTTGAGGCTTCGATTCACTGTAATATATCCAATTGTCCAGAGAAATGTGAATTTTACTGGGAAAAAATTAATGGAAAAAATGAAATAAATGAATTACCAACCAGTTATAGAGCAGAGGACAAATATTACTGTGAATCCACAAAGGATTTTTCAACTTTGACTATTAAAAATATGGATAAAGATGATGTGGCTTTTTATCGTTGTTGTATAAAATCCTGTTCGTCAGAAAATGAATTTAGATTCAAAAGTCATAGAAAAAAGGTTTATATACTAAATGGTAAGTTTCTTGCTTCATATTTACTTAATTTCACATAGCTGATATTTTTTACTCATATTTTAATTACTTATTACCTCGCATGACTCTTAAGGACTTTTGTAATCCATTGCAATCTCATTACATAGGTTGATAAGTAACTTAAGGGCATACGATACAGTTTTGATCCCACAATGAATTTTTGACAAAAGTTTGCATACAAGCTATTTTTCTCCTAGTAAATTCAAATATGTAATAAAAAATATACCTTCATATTTGGACATTTATTGGAAATTTCTATTACTTGGACATACCAAACTTTTTTGTTTTAAAAGATAAAGGCAAGCAGATTTTTGTATAAACATTTTGAATATCTTCTCTACATAAGTTGGCTTTGAATTTGTGTAACAATTCTTTGGAAATAATTCATTTTTATATGCCCGTTTACAGGACGTATGATGGTATATCGTGGACCGTCTGTCTGTCCATCCGTCTGTCCGTCTGTCCGTCCGTCCGTCCGTCCGTCCGTCCGTCCGTCCGTCCGTCGTCAACATGTCGGACATTAACTCAAAAAAGCTTTAACCAATATGCATGAAACTGTAGTGAATTGTTTATATCTATTGACGTGAGTTCCCTTTCGTTTTTTATAAATTTCAGATTTACCCTTTCTGAGTTTTGGGGCTTTATTCATTAAAAAAGGGGGGATTTTCCAGTTTTCTGACAATAACTCAAGAATGCTTTCACAAACTTGCAAGAAATTTTGGTGGATTGTTTATATCTATTGACATGAGCTCCCTTTTGATTTTTAGAAATTTTAGATTTTACGTTTCCGAGTTACAGGGTTTTATTCATAAAAAAAGGGTGATTTTCCAGTTTTCGGACAATAACTAAAAAATGCTTTCAGCAGTTCTCATGAAACTTTGGTGAATTGCTTATATCTGTTGATGTAGCTCCCTTTAGTATTTTATAAATTTTAGATTTTACATTTCGGAGTTATGGGGTTTTATTCATTAAAAAAGTGGGGATTTTCCAGTTTTTGGACAATAACTCAAAAATGCTTTCAGCAGTTCTCATGAAACTTTGGTGAATTATTTATAGCTATTGATGTAATCTCCCTATTGATTTTCATAAATTTCAAATATGACATTGAGAAGATATTGAACTTTATTTGTTTATAGTCTGACAACAGATTTACTAAGTATTGCGCAACAGCACAGTGTATTGCACAACAGCAAGAAATCTTTAATTGAATATAAATTCAGTTCATATAACCAATTTCAAGTTCTTTGACTACATTTATTCAGAAACCTATAATATGTCAAATATTTTATTACAATCCAAATTTAGACCTGTATCAAGCTTGAATATTGTGTCCTTTTTTGCCCCAACTGTTCAGGGTTGGACCTCTGCGGGCGTATCCAGCTGCGCTCACCGAAGCAGTTTATTATCACACTTTCCTGATTTTAGTAAAAAACAGCATTTCTTTCTGTATATTTATCTAATTTAAAAAAATCACATAGGTGAAATGTTTATAAAAATTGGCACAAATAATATTCACACATAATGAAGCCAAATGTCTATTTTAAAAAGAGAGGTCCATGAATTTGTTTTGAAGTTAAATCAGTCTGAGTGATAAAAATCAGTCGAAAAATGCATCTTTTCTCGATATGTCACAGTTTGACATTGTAAAACATAACATTTTACGTTAATGATGTCATCAGCTCCCCTGTAACTGTATCGTATGCCTTTAATAAATATAACCAATTGTAAGATTTCTGCTGACACCAATGGAACTACCCCTTACCACTGCCATTTATAGGATGTTAAGTTTCAATATTTCATTACATTTTTACAGTGAACATCATACATTTCTGCTATATCTGCAGATAGAGAAGAGAAAAAAAATACTGTATTTTTTATGCCCCAGCTGTGGCGGAAGGGGCATTAGGTGTTACCTGTGTCTGTCCGTATGTTCATACTTCCCTAACTTTAGTTTGCCTCAACCAAATGTTATGAAACTTATACACAATGCTTATCACCACAAAACACCGATCAAGTTTGAATTTTTGGGTTGCTTCACTTTTACCATTCTTGAGTAATGTCCCTTTATAATGTTATATGCAAGCAAGGGCACCATTTGTGTCCCATGAGCACACATTCTCCATTTATTTTAAATCCTGCATCAAGGGATTCTGTAAAGGAAATGTATTCTAAAAGGAAAATAAAGATTTTATTTTTTTATTTGCTTTTCTCACATAGGAATATTGTTTAACACAACCTGATTGGATGCAGCCAATAGTAACAACTTTTCTACATATTTATTTATAGAAAGGAGTGTATGCTTTCCATTGATTTAAAATATAAACTTTGATATGTGCATAAAAGGTGTACTACAATGAGATAGCAACTCACCAATAACAGAAAGACATCTAGAAGTTAATGTAGAATCTTTAACAATAGCTCTAAAATTTCACAAAATCATAGATACTTGTCAGTTGTGAGTAATTTTAAGAGACTATTAAAGATCTGCCATCAAAAACAAATTTTCTAAATAAAGAAAGAAAACCCAGAATGAAAACCATTTTTGATGATTCCTTTTATTCTTTGTATATATTATCATGATTATTAAGATATGACATTAGACAATCATGTATGTCAATGTATGTATAAGCAAGAAATACACACTTTCTTCTTTTGATTTATTTCTAGAACCAGATGTTGAGATGAAAATCCATTCAATAGATGTTTATATTGGTGGTAAAGTTTCTATTGGTTGTGTTATATCACATAGCCCAAGAGACTTTGAAGTGTTCTGGGAGAAAATAGATATAGATGATGACAAAAAGTCTTATTTGATAGAAATTAATGACCAGACAAAGGAGAAGTATGAAAAGTTCACTATGAAATATCCACATTTAACAATTAAAAATGCACAGAAGTCTGATGATGCCTTCTATTGCTGTGGTATAAAATACTTGTCTTCTTCTGGCGACCTTGTTGTTAAGAGTGAATGGACACGTCTTCATGTTCTTGAAGGTAAGTTTTTTCTTCAACTGTAATTGTTTATACAATTATTTTCTTTCTTTAAAAAAAAATAGACTCTCAATGCCCATAATTTAATCATTATACTCAACATGACCACATGCTAAGAAGAAGCGGGGTAATGTAGTTTTAAACCTCTTTGTCTGTCTGTTTGTCATTTTGGTTTCTGGATACTGAAAAAATACCTATATCAGATTGCAACCATACTTGGATATATTGTTAAATGTAATGAGTGAAGGAATATTATTGATTTTTAAGTCACAACTTACGAGGTAAAGGTCGTAGTAAAAAAAGTATTTGGTTTTTGATGACATTGTTTTTATGCCTCCGCCGTAGCAGGGGGGGCATTAAGTTTTACCCTTGTCCGTCTGTACTTACGTACGTACATACGTACGTCCAAAAATTAGTTTCCGTTCTCTAACTTTAGTTTGCCTCAACCAAATGTTATGAAACTTATACACAATGCTTATTACCACAAAACACAGATCAAGTTTAAATTTTGGTGGTGTCACTTTTACCGTTCTAGAGTTGTACCCCTTTACAAATGGAAAAATTGCTGAATTTTTGTTTCCGTTCTCTAACTTTAGTTTGCCTCAACCAAATGTTATGAAACTTATACACAATGCTTATTACCACAAAACTCAGATCAAGTTTGAATTTTGGTGGCGTCACTTTTACCGTTCTAGAGTCATGCCCCTTTAGAAAATGGAAAAATTGCTGAATTTTTCGTATTCGTTCTCTTTCTTTAGTTTGTCTCAACCAAATGTTATGAAACTTAAACACAATGCCTAATACCAAAAAACTCAGATCAAGTACAAATTTGGGTAGCGTCACTTTTACCGTTCTAGAGTTATATCCTTTTGTAACGTTATATGCAAGGAGGGGCATCATCTGTGTCCCATGGACACATTCCCCATTAATTTCATAATTAGTTCTATTGCTGGTTATTAGATATACATCAGTACTTTGATCAAAGGAATGAATGAATGTGTTAGTTTGAATAATTTCTATATTGCAATTAAGATAAATGTTATAAATGATAAAATTAAGATATTTCGATCACGAAGTAGGTTAAAAAAAATATTTTAATTTAGTTCTTGTCCTTTGGTCTCTGGTAGCTATAGATAGTTGTCTCATTGACTGTCATACCACTTCTCCTTATAGATATTTTTGTCCCATTTGAAATGGGCACAATGACCCGATCTTTCCAATGTATCTTGATAATGGAGGGATTTGGTTTTTTGTTAAACAGGTAAAAATAAGTGTAAAGTAAACATGGTATAAGAGTTTTCTAGACTGTTTGCTAGGAGCAGTTGTCTGTCTGGTATACCATTTCTTATGGCCCTGGCCTCAATTTTATACTGTGGTTGTCGGGTTAAGTTTTCAAGATGATGTCTGTTTCTTTTTCTCTGTATATGATAGGTTAACAATATTTGTTATGATGAGTAAATATTCGTCAAATGGTATTACAGAAGGCAAGACATTTTAGTGTGTCAACTCTTGTTATATTTTTTGGTTGCTATCTCAATTAACAGATACCTATCATGCTCTTTGATGGCTTCAGCGGCCTATGTGAAAGATAACTTGTGAATAGTATAGTATTACTAAGTTGACATAAGGAGTAATACCACCATTGTTTTTTCCCTATTAGCCTTTGTGTTAAATTGGCATTTTTTTTTTTTTAAATTGTGCAGAATTTATCTTTATTTCAAATAAAGAAGTACTTGACATGAGTAAAGTTTTATCCTGTCTAGTACTACAGTGAAACTTTCACATTGCATTTAATTGCATATAAGATAATAGCCATCACTGGAAGTAAACCTATCAAATTTTCATCCCTTTTAAGCTCACCTGGCCCAAAGGGCCAAGTGAGCTTTTCACATTACTTGGCGTCCGTCGTCGTCGTCGTCGTCCGTCGGCGTTAACTTTTACAAAAATCTTCTCCTCTGAAACTACTGGGCCAAATTTGACCAAACATGGCCACAATCATTATTGGGGTATCTAGTTTAAAAAATGTGTCCGGTGACCCGGCCAACCAACCAAGATGGCCACCATGGATAAAATTGGACATAGGGGTAAAATGTAGATTTTGGCTTATATCTCTGAAACCAAAGCATTTAGAGCAAATCTGACATGGGGTAAAATTGTTTATCAGGTCAAGATCTATCTGCCCTGAAATTTTCAGATGAATCAGACAACCTGTTGTTGGGTTGCTGCCCCTGAATTGGTAATTTTAAGGAAATTTCGAAGTTTTTATACGACCGCAAAAAGTTATTGCGGTCGTATATTGGTATGACATTGGCGTCGTCGTCGTCGGTGTCGTCCTGCGTCGTCCGAAGACACATTGGTTTTCGCACTCTAACTTTAGTTTAAGTGAATGGATCTCTATGAAATTTTACCATAAGGTTCAATACCACAAAAGGAAGGTTGGGATTGATTTTGGGGGTTATGGTACCAACAGTTAAGGAATTAAGGGCCAAAAAGGGGCCAAAAATAAGCATTTTTGTAACTTCCAGACATAACTTGTGTGTTAGTGTATGAATCTCTCTGACATTGTACCACAAGGTTCCATATCACACAGGGAATGCTGGGATTGATTTTGGAGGTAATTGCCTCAAAATATTAGGAATTAGGGGCCAAAAAAGGGGCAAAAAACAAGCATTTTTCTAGTTTCATGACAATAACTTGTGTGTAAGTGTATGGATCTTTCTGAAATTGTACTACAAGGTTCCATATCACAAAGGGAAAGCTGGAATTGAGTTTGGGGGTAATTGCCCAAAACTTTTAGGAATAAGGGGCCAAAAAGGGGCCAAAAATAAGCATTTTTCTAGTTTCCAGACAATAACTTGTGTTCAAGTGTATGGATCTCTCTGAAATTGTACTGCAAGGTACCATACCACAAAGGGAAGGCTGGGATTGATTTTGGGGGTAATTGCCTAATCTAACCGTGTATTTAGATTCTTAATTTTTGGTCCCGTTTTCAAATTGGTCTACATTAAGGTCCAAAGAGTCCAAAATTAAACTTAGTTTGATTTTAACAAAAAATTGAATTCTTGGGGTTCTTTGATATGCTGAATCTAAACATGTACTTAGTTTTTTGATTATGGGCCCAGTATTCGTTGGTCCAAATCGGGGTCCAAAATTAAACTTTGTTTGATTTCAACAAAAATTGAATGTATGGGGTTCTTCGATATGCTGAATCTAACCATGTATTTAGATTTTTGATATTTGGGCCTGGTTATCAAATTGGTCCACATTGAGGTTTAAAGGGTCCAAAATTGAACTTTATTTGATTTCATCAAAAATTTAATTCTTGGGGTTCTTTGATATGCTGAATTTAACCATGTATTTAGATTTTGTATATTGGAATACCACAAAGGGATGGTAAGAATTGTCTTTGGGAGTTATGGCTCAAACCGTTAAGGAATAAGGTGCAAAAAAGGGGGGAAAAGGGTTTCCAGGTTAATGGACAATTACTTAAGTACAAAACATAATTTAAAAGGCAGTGTAAGGTTGGTAATTGAAACTCATTTGAATATCTCACCCAAACTGCTTTTAAATTATGTATATTGGAAATTTGCCAAAAACTTTATTATTAATAAATAACCATTGGAAATTTGCTAATAACTTTAGTTTAATGAACTTCATTGGAATTTTGCCAATATAAAATGTTTCTGATGGAGCTTTTTTGTTTATCTCACATAAACTGCTTTAAAATTATGTATATTGGAAATTTGCCAAAAACTTTATTATTAATAAATTCCATTGGAAATTTGCCAATAACTTTAGTTTAATGAACTTCATTGGAAATTTGCCAATATAAAATGTTGCTGATGAAGCTTTTTTGTTTATCTCACCTAAACTGCTTTTAAATTATGTATATTGGAAATTTGCCAAAAACTTTATTATTAATAAATTCCATTGGAAATTTGCCAATAACTTTAGCTTAATAAACTTCATTGCATTTTTTCTAGTTTCCAGACAATAACTTGTGTGTAAGTGTATGGCTCTCTCTAAAATTGTACTGGGGGGGAGGGGGGGGGGGGGGGCTGTGCGAAAAGTTGGGGGGGGGGGGGGGATTTTTTTTTCAAATTTTTTGGGGTTCATATTTTTTTTCTTCAAAGTTTTTGTAATCTTCAATTGCACAGTATTGTGCAATAGCAAGAAATCTTCAATTGAAAATAAATACAAATCTTTTAACCAATTTCAATGGGATTAATTTAAAGTCTTTAATTTTTGGGGGTTCTTACCTTGTATTACTTTTTTGGATATTGGGCCCCATTTTTAAATTGGTCTACATTGAGGTCAAAAGGGTCCAAAATTAAACTTTGTTTGATTTCATCAAAAACTGAATGATTGCGGCTGTATGATATGCTGAATCTTATTGTGCATTTAGATTTTTTATTTTGGGCCCTGTTTTCAAGTTAGTCCATATTAAGGTTTGAAGGGTCCAAAATTAAACTTTTGATTGATTTCAACTAAAATAAAATTTTTGGTGTTTTTTTATATGCTGAATCTAACCATGTTGTTAGATTTTGGATATCAGACCATTCTAGGTAAAATGAATGTCCCATTTCAAATTTTTAAGCTCTTTGACCACATTTATTTTGTGTCAGAAACCTATATTATGTCAAAAATTTGATCACAATCCAAATTCAGACAGTATCAAGCTTGAATATTGTGTCCAAACTTGCCCCAACTGTTCAAGGTTCGACCTCTGCAGTCGTATCAGGCTGCGCTCTGCGAAGCATTTTATTGGTTATTATCTTGAATATTATTATAGATAGAGATCAACTGTAAACAGCAATAATGTTCAGCAAAGTAAGATCTACAAATAAGTCAACTTGACCAAAATGGTCAGTTGACCCCTTAAGGAGTTATTGCCCTTTATAGTCAATTTTTAACCATTTTTCGTAAATTTTTGTAATCTTTTACAAAAATCTTCTCCTCTGAAACTACTAAGACAAATTTAACCAAACTTGTCCACAATCATCATTAGGGTATGTAGTTTAAAAAATGTGTCCGATGACCCCGCCCGTGAACCAAGATGGCCGACATGGCTAAAAAATAATACATAGGGTAAAATGCAGTTTTTGGCTCATATCTCTGAAACCAAAGCATTTAGAGAAAATCTGACGGGATAAAATTGTTCATTAGGTCAAGATCTATCTGCCCTGAAATTTTCAGACCAATCAGGCAACACGTTGTTGGGTTGCTGCCCCTGAATTGGTAATTTTAAGAAAATTTTGCAGCTTTTGGTTATTATCTTGAATATTATTATAGATAGAGATAAACTGTAAACAGCAATAATGTACAGCAAAGTAAGATCTACAAATAAGTCAACATGATCAAAATTGTCAATTGACCCCTTAAGGAGTTATTGCCCTTTATAGTAAATTTTTTACAATTTTCATAAATTTTGTAAATTTTTGTAAATTTTTACAAAATATTTTGTACTGTAACTACTGGGCCAAGTTCATTATAGATAGAGATAATTGTAAGCAGCAAGAATGTTCAGTAAAGTAAGATCTATAAACACATCACCATCACCAAAACACAATTTTGTCATGAATCCATCTGTGTCCTTTGTTTAATATGCACATAGACCAAGGTGAGCGACACCGGCTCTTTAGAGCCTCTAGTTTCCTGTTTACAAGCTTTAGTAACTATGTCACCTCAGGTTTCCAACATATTTGATAGAAACGCCAAATAAGAAAAGAATGTGCATTGAAACATCCAAGATATATATGTTTATGACTCTAAATTTTTTTTCTGCTATGAAATGTAGGGTTAATTTCCTACAACTGTCAAATTCAAGAGAATATTTTTTTTTTTAACCTTTTTCATTTGAAACCAGATGTGACGTACTATGATTTGGTGGTATTACACAATAAAGTTGTCCAAAATTATGGTCCATCTGTATTAGAATATTAAAACATTATTAAATTTTCATCTGATAACATGTTATTGCAAAAAAATAATAGTATGAACTTTATAATTTAAAATTTTCAGAAAAGAAAACTGGGGAAACTAAAATAGAAAAGCAGTTCAATATTCATGGTAAGTTTTTAAATTAGATATATATTTTAATCTATATGTAACATCTATTGGTAGATGTTTTAAGATTTTTAGTATAAATATAGTCTGATTGATATAATAAAAATTTTCTTAATATTTCTTTAATGTATTCTCTTGTGATTTTGTGATATAACTATGTACATTGATTAATATAAAACCTATTCTGTACCCAATCTGAGCTATTTATTATCCCTTTATAGGAGTTATTGCTCTTAATTGACAATCTTTACCAATTTTTTTCATTTTTTAACCTATGAGCTTTTTTCATCACTTGGCATCTGTCGTAGTTGCTTAAAACTTTTACAAAAATCTTCTCCTTGGAAATTACAGAGCCAAATTTAACCAAACTTGGCCACAATCTTCATTGGAGTTTTCTCTATTTTTTTATTTTTTAGCTCACCTGGCCCGAAGGGCCAAGTGAGCTTTTCTCATCACTTGGCGTCCGTCGTCCGTCGTCCGTCGTCCGTCATCGTCGTCCGTCGTTGTTAGCTTTTCACAAAAATCTTCTCCTCTAAAACCACTTGGCCAAATTTAACCAAACTTGGCTACAATCATCATCAGGGTATCTAGTTTAAAAAATGTGTCCGATGACCCGGCCAACCAACCAAGATGGCCACCATGGCTAAAAATAGAACATAGGGGTAAAATGTAGATTTTGGCTTATATCTCTGAAACCAAAACATTTAGAGTAAATCTGACATAAGTAAAACTGATTATCAGGTCAAGATCTATCTGCCCTGAAATTTTCAGACAAATCTGACAACCTGTTGTTGGGTTGCTGCCCCAGAATTGGTAATTTTAAGGAAATTTTGCAGTTTTTGGTTATTATCTTGAATATTATTATAGATAGAGATAAACTGTAAACAGCAATAATGTTCAGCAAAGTAAGATCTACAAATAAGTTGTCATGACCAAAATTGTCAGTCGACCCCTTAAGGAGTTATTGCCCTTAATAGTCAATTTTTAACAATTTTTCGAAATTTTTGTAATCTTTTACAAAAATCTTCTTCTCTGAAACTACTGAGACAAATTTAACCATACTTGGTCATAATCATTATTAGGGTATCTAGTTTAAAAAATTTGTCCGATGACCCCGCCTTCCAACCATCATGGCCAACTTGGTTAAAAATAGAACATAGGGGTAAAATGCAGTTTTTGGTTTATATCTCTGAAACTAAAGCATTTAGAGCAAATCTGACAGGTGGCAAAAATGTTCATCAGATTTAGATTTTTCTGCCCTGAAATTTTCAGATGAATTCGACAACCCGTTGTTGGGTTGCTGCCCCTGAGTTAGTAATTTTACAAAAATTTTGCAGTTTTTTGTTATTATCTTAGATATCATTATAATATCTAATATCTAATACTATTAATTATGATTTTAACCCTATTTTACATGATTTCCAAAGCATCAGTAAATAAAGGTGAGCAACACAGGCTCTTGAGAGCCTCCAGTTTATTTTAGAAATTTAATTTACTATGCCTATAATATGGATTTTTTGCCCAAAGAGTAGCTTACCTAAGCTGTATTTTGCAAAACCTTTCAGAATTTTGGGTCCTCAATGCTCTTCAACTGCATACTTTATTTGGCTTTCTTAATTTTTTTATAATCAGGGCATCATGGATGAGTCTTTTGTAGATGAAACACACATGTGGCATACAAAATATGAATCCTGGTACACGATGTATCTATGATGAGTTTATTGCTTTGGAGGGTTTTTTTATAAATGAAAATTTATCAGGAAAAGTTAATGGTCAAAACCTGTTGAAGGGTATTAAAATATGAAGTAAATTAAGCAAAAAGTTATAAATTATAAACAACAAAGTTGGACTCACACATAAGAAAACTATATCAAGTACTGAAAATGGAATGATATAAATAATAACATATTTTTTACTTTTTCTCTCTTATACAGCGAATAAAATAGTACATCTCAACACGGTAAGTACTAACAATCAATTGTGTATAGGTTCAAATGATATATATATATGCAGAAGAGGTGCAAGTGTTTAATTTTTGTTGTTGTGCACATACATTGTACAAACATGAAAAATAGTACAATGAATAAAATGAGTTTTTTCCTAACTCAACAAAAATTAAAATGAATGCTTGCATGGATGGTTACTATATAAATTATACATTTTTTTTTCTTCAGTAGTCAGGCTTTTACAATCCCTGTACATCACCACCTGACTTAGTGTTAAAGGGGTTTGATGTATAAAACAAAAATTTTGAATAATTGACTACATTTTTTCTACTACTGTGAATATATATTATATGAATATTAACAATATAATAAAAAGGGGAAAAGAACAATCACACACACATACACACACTCTTGCACTTGTGTTAACATAACATAAATCAACTTGTGTAAGGGGTCTCGGTGGCCAAGTGGTCTAGGTAATTCTACTACTGTAATCACTAGCCAGTCAACACTGAGGTTGTGAGTTCGAACCCCGCTCGTGCAGGTGCACTCGACTTCAATCTTAATTGACTAGGATTGTCAGTTTTCCTATCGAAGGTCGGTGGTTTTCTCCAGGCACTCCGGCTTCCTCCACAAATAAAAACTGGCTGCCACGAAATAGCCCAAATGTGGCGCTTAAAAGTGGAGTTAAAACACCTACAATCAACAATCAATCAACTTGTGTATTGCAAAGAAAAATGTTATCTTTGTAAAGATCTGCTCTTTATAAACTAAGTTTAATTTTTTATTTTATATGATTTGAATCAAAAATAATTGTTACTAATCAGTAAAAATGTAATCTACTGGGGCCCAGAATTTAAAAAAAAAAGGTGTGGTACCATTTTTCTTTGCTATATAATGTTCTTTTTCCTGATATTTTCTTATTTTTGCTATTAGCCCTATAATACTGGGTTTCTTTTCATACAATTTACATTTGTATATATAGTTCTTTGCAATAATAATCATCAAATTCAACAGTAAACTCTCATTTTGAAGGCCAAGATAAATGTGTTTCTTAGATAATGTAAAGTTCACAAAATATATATATAAAAAATAAATTACACATAGCTGAGAGGGTGATAGAGCAGATTGTTACCCCGAAAAACATTGTCAATAGAGGCGTAGTTGTGGTTGACAATGTTTTTACATGGTGTACCAATGTGCTCTACCACCCTCTCAGCTATGAGTTATTTAATTTATTATACTGAGTGTTCTACAAACATTCCCCGTTTCCATTTTCAATTCTATCATTATTGTCTTTTACTGTTAAATTTGAATTGAAAGTACTGAACTATGACCTCACCTAGAAAAAAACAAGAAAAGTGAAGCAAGATATATTTGTTATTTTGACAGGTCAAAACGTAGAACTTGAGCATTATGTTTAATTTTATTGATGTAAATTCAATTCATTGTCCTTTAAATTATCGATTTTTGATTGGTCTGCACGAGAGGGTGACATTCAAAAAATTGTCTCCCGCTGAGCCATGGGATAGAGTAAATTTTCTCTCTCATATTAGCCAATCAAAATCTGGCATTCTAACGTAAAGTATAAGAAAATATAATTTTTAATTTGTTGACAGATTAATTTAAAAGAGGACATAAAACGAATTTCTAATCTACAAATGAATATTCAAATTCAAAAGAAAACGGCTGTGATCATGTTGAAAATTAAATCTGCTTTCTTTTCAAGTTTGATTGAACGAATCGTTTTGAATAATTATCAAGTTTGAAGATATTTAGAATAGATAGATATAGATATATCTTTTCATATTAATTTTTTCAATCTACAATTGTACACTATTTTTCTTTTAAATTTAGCTTGATATGAATCAATATAGTTTAGCATCTAATGGAAAGTAACATGTGTAGTTTTATAAATAAATTACTGTAAATAACAAACCCTCAACAGAGAAAACAGATATCAGCAAAGTAATGGTAAATGTTAAACAAATAATACAATGTATAACTCTTAACAAAGAAGAACAGAAATCACCCTGGTTCATTTGATGTTGATTTTTTTTAGCGCAATACAAGCTAAGGTAGTGCTTTGACATGAAATGACTGTCACATAATGTGAGCTTAAGGGCATATGATACAGTTACATGGGAGGTAATGACGTTGCTAACGTAAAATGTTATTTTCGCGACATCAAACTGTGTGATATCGGGAAAAGATGCATTTTTCGACTGTTTTATGATTTAAACTGATATAACTTGAAAACGAGTACATGGACCCCTCTTTTTTAAAATGGCATTAGGTTTGATTACGCATGAAGATTATTTGTACCAATTTTAATGAAAAAGTCATCGATGATAACAAAAATGATATAAAATGTTTACTGTTTTTTTTTTTACTCTTTGTGGAAGTAGGATTACAGTTGAAGAAATTAATTAAAAGTGGAATTTACAAAAAATGTAATGACAAACATTTCAAAACATTTTCTAAAATCATTATAGTAAAATAAGATGATTGGTGATAAAAATTATAGTAATTGGTTAATTTTAAAATTTGATCATGTAACCTCTGTGTATATGAAGAGATAAATATCTTATGATGGTCAGATAATTAGTAAAACTATTTTTAAATGAATTGTGAATAATTTTTATAACATTATTGTAGGGTGTTGGCGAAGTTCATATGAATACAGACGAAACAAAAGAATCATCAAATTCTAACCAGAGCAGCAGTTCATCTGGCTCCTCTGATTCAAATGCTGATGACAAAATGGGCGACACGTCTTCTACTGCAAGTGAAAGCAAGCCAACTACAACTGATAATTCAAGGGATACTGCTCCAAAGAATGGTCAGACGTCTAGTGATATAGATATCAATCTTCAGGAAAAACCTCAGTTGAAGATTGTACCTCCAAAGGTTTGTCTTATTTCTACATAATAAATCTGATTGGTGCTGGTTTGATAATTTGAAATATCCTGTGGATTCATTTATATTCGTTGGTACCAATTATTTTGTGGATAAAAGAAACATTGTATTTTGTGTATACATACCTGCTAACTTTTCAAAATGGCCATGGGGGTTTTACGTGCAACATGGCTATTACAGTCTTAAAACCCCTTCAAGGGGGCCTTCACATGTATTTTAAGGTTGTTTTTCGGCTTCTTCATACTTTTTAAAGCCTATAGCCATTGTAAAATTAACTGTTTTGTTTAAAGTTGCTCTTTCAAAATTTCAATTTGGGAGCTTTCATGGGGGAAATCCCCCGCAAATAGTGACAGTTGGCAGGTATGTGTATATTTGATTTTGTGGAATTGCCAAACTCTGCAAAGAATCCAATAGAAATTTTTTCTGTGTTGAACATTTAAATTTTTGGTTAACCTTTACCTATGAATACACAAAAATTGGTAACACGTGAATAAAAATGAATCCACAATATATGCTTTTACACTCAAAAATGTTTCAACTGTTTCAGTTATATCTTTAATCAAGAACAAAACTCTTCATTTTCTTTGCATTCTCATTTGAAGTAATCCCTAGCACTAAGAGCAAATAAGTAAAGGAGGTCAAGGCTTTTTTGTTTAATTATCAACACATGTCAGAACAATTTGGCAAATGTCACTTTTATTGAATGTTTTATACTTGGAAAATTTTTTTAATTTAAAGATGCAATGAAATAGTCCTCATAATGATTTCACTTTCCTTTTTGGGGTGCATTACATTTGCGCGCATTTGTGGATTAAAATATTTTACGTTTGCTCTCAGCTTTTGATTACATTTGCGCGCATTCATTTTACTGGTAACACAGGTAGAATAAAGATAATTCATAATAGATATGATTACAGTTAATATGAATTTTGAACATATTCTATTTGTAAATGTAAATAATAGCTTTAGACATACATATAAGTTAATTGCAAATATATCAGAGTAAATAGTTTTCTGTTTCATATTTTTACCTATTAGTGATTGCTTTAACAGGACGGAAACCCAGTTGAAATTAAACAAAAAGAAATGGAACTCTTAGTTAGAGAAGGAAAAAAAGGCCAATTTGATAAATTTGAATTGTTTACATCTGTTTCTATGGGCTTTAAAAGTTTAATGAATGTGCATAATTTAGGATTTATGCATCTTATATATGTGTTTTTACTTAAATTATGGTAAAGAGCTTCGAGAACTTTTAAATTATAGACCGATTTTTACAAAACAGTCGTTTGGGGTAGGTGCAAATACATGTGGATCTTTTTTGTGCATAAGCATAAATTCCACCGAAAAAAATTCCAAAGAAAGATAAAAGATTGATATTTCTGAAGCATTAGTTTGCATCTCTGCCCCCGTTGACAGTTTTTTTGGAAAAAAATCCCCCAAATTTTCAATAATTTCATCGAAAAAAGAAAGTCGAGTACACCTTTTTATGTTCAGGCGTGTTTGAGTTGACTATTCTGTCTTGAAAAAGTATAAAAGAAAAATATCTGATACATCATCTTGCTTCAGATTCTATTATTTTTATATATTTAGGCTATAGGTTGATATAATAACATTAAAACCTTACAGTACTAAGAAATGAAATATACGGGTCAAGTGAAATATCTTTCTAATGAGTCATAACAACAGAGTAGGTGTGTTCGAATTATAAATTTTTACTAAAAGTACTTGACGATAGACTTTACAAGTGGAACTTAAAAATGCATTACTTCAAAAAAACTTCTCAGACAATAGTTTTAAGTTGACCAAATGCATAAAAGTACATTAAAATATTGCTCAATAGAAAGTAGATACATTTGTCTTTTATGATACAACTGGCATATAAGGATCCTAATGATGCTATGTGGATAAACTGATCAGGTTTCAAGAGTTAAATTGACAGCACGTCATTACTACAATGGCTTCCATTTTTATGATTATAAAAAATGGGTGGTGTAATGGGGAGATAATTTTGAAGAAGTAGAATCCTGACAGTTTAATAATTAATTTAAGTCAGTTTGTAAAGTTGTGTCAAACACACACATTTAGTTTAGTTTGTCAGATATAAGTCGATGGAAAAAAATCATTTGTGTACGATAGATTTACTTTCCATATTGATAGAACACTTTAAGTCATTGGATAATTCATGGCGATGCACATCCATGTATTTTTGTGCACGTTACGACATGTGAAATCAGTACTTTTATTCTTTAGATTTACTATGTTTTACCTTTTTTTTTAGTGTTGGAAGTTCAATAAATAAATAAGAATGAATTACCTGTATTTACCTGAGTTTACCTGTAAAAGAATACACGCAAATGTAATCAAAAGCTGCATGCAAACGTAATGATTTTTGCATGCAAATGCAATGGTAATGTGCGGAAATGTAATGCACCACCTTTTTGTGTTTAAGATTTATTGTCCCACCATGAATTAAATAAAAAATATATTTTTATTTTTATCTCAACTGGCCATAAGGTCAAGTTTGAGCATGGTCATCACATTCTCAAATGTTTGCCATTAATCGGGTATTATGAAATTTAAATAAAAAAAAAAACCTCTAAGACTTAGTTTTTTTGTCTCTAGCCATGTTTGAAAACAACTTAATGAAACTAAGAACACATGTTCATTATGGTGCAAACTTTTTAAATTATGGTTTCTACCTAGATTTCATGGTTCACTGAACATAGAAATGTGATAGTTTGAAATTAGTACATCCTTAGGTTAAAGTTCTTGGTCAAGGTAGTTTAATTACCATGAAGTGTTCACATCATCTCAAAAAGCTAGTATGTTACACATGGTCATTGTGAAGTGAACTTTTAAAATCAAATGAATGCATCAATTTCATGGTTTACTGAACATGGGCATATTATAGTGCAAATGGGATATGGAGCCGTGTAGACACATATTCTTGTTTTACTTGTTTTGTATTGGACAAGGATGCCATTAAAAAGATTAAATGAAGCCATTTTTGAGCCACTAGTATCAAAGAAAGATGGATTTTGACAAGATTGTTCAGAAGTCAAATATATTCAGTATATACTTTTGAATACTTAAACATCAGTTTTTGACAAAATGTTTTGGATTTAGGGTTTTATGATCTGGTCAGCAAGTTTTTACTAACTGTGTTTAAATTCTTGCCTATGTATCAATGCAAAGTAAAGTGTGTTTGTTTGTAAGTTCATTTAGAAGGAGATGTGTTTGTATTATAATGCACCAAGTTTTTATAGTATGATGTTTCCTTTTTCTTCTAGAACTGGGTCAATACTATACTGATGGTGAACTATTAGTCCCTGAAGGTAGCCCAATTGTCAATGTTTAGCCACTGACGTGATTAATAACATACATTTAAAAAACTTTCATATAAAAAAATATTAGATACTAAACTAACAACAGGCAAAGTTGACTTAAAAGATGGTTTGGCAATTCTTTTTAGGTGCCTTTTGGTCATAAGCTAGTCAAATACTTATACATTCCTTGTTTTCAAATCTTTGGTTGTGATCAGTCTGATGGATGTAAATAGAAAAAAGCTCTTCTAATGCAAATTTTTAAGGTGTCATTTTCATTTATAGTCTGCCTTTATAAGAGCTCTTGATAATTTATTTTTCATTAGATATTGATAATATAAAAAAAGGTTAAATTCAAGAACAACTTATGCATTTTAAGATTAGTCATGATTAAATTTTTGAAGGATTATGCCCCTTGATGGCAGAAAATTTGGCATATGGCTACTAAATACATTTTTCTTCATTAGCATAGAGTAAAGCTAGCTTTTTGATATATCAGGCATTTGCTATTAATTCTTACATTTGTGTATGATTTTTGCCATAACTAAATATTAATAGAAGTCTGCATAGTTAGCATGTAAACAGAAGACTAGGTATAATTTGGGTGTGCTTGTGGTGTTCTGACCTGTAAATTTGTCAAAATATAAAATTAGCCATATTATTTCATTTATTCATACCTGTCACCTGACCCGGATTTTGAGAGTCACACCCGGGAATTTAAGAGCTCACCCACACACTACAATGATGGTTAAATGATGATCGATATCTCCATCCAAAATATTGCCTTACAAATGTTTCATCATACTTAGTTATTTATGTGTTCATTTAAATAAAAAAATATATCAAATCTTAAATTCAATATTACACAAAGACTGCAGGGATAAAGATTTTACAAAAATTTTGGTTGGAAGAAAATGGAGAAATATTAAAAAACAAATCAACAGCAAATATGAATATCTTGCATAAGCTCTGGCAGGAATATTTTGGAATTTTTACTTTGTAAAATTTCCTTGAAGACTCTCATATCCATTATATTTTGGCAAAATATGTTAACATTTTGAAGTTAGAGAGAGTAGTGTCCCTTGATATGTCAAGACGTATCGCACAATACTCCGTCTAAAAAGCGATAAAATTCGTTGTTTGAACTGAAAATGAATGCAGAAGTGGAAGCATTGTGTAAGAAAATGACCCAGGATCGCCTTCTGAGGCTTTTAGAAGGTCTACAAGGTACAGAACCATATATAGTTAACAAAGAAGCGACGGTTCATCAAGATGTAAACAATGAAAAAATGGCGACCTACGCCGAAGTTACTTCAGATACACATTTAAGTCAGGGTAACACACAATCTGAACAATCCTACATTGAAAAAAACACTTATTATAGTAAACAAAATGAACCAAGTGACCCAAGTGATTATGTAAAGCCAATTTTCTTGAAAGATCAAGATGTTCATGGCTCGGTCAAACCGCCTCGGGCGCAATGGCTAACAAATGTTGAAATCTTCAAATCAATTGGTGCCAAAGTCCCTTCACAGTGTATAAAAGGAATACAGAGAATCAGAGAGATGTGGCGAATTTATATGGACAATGAGGGTGACAGACTGTCTTTGTTGGTGCAGGGGGTAAACTTACGTGGCAGGCAAGTACCCCTTCACTCACAAAACCCTC